TATACCCTTTGACCATCTTACAACCACTGAACATCTATCAGAAGATGAGTTTCGTTTTGAAATTTTCAAGGGGACACGTTATTCGAATTGGCTCTATCTCTTGTTCTTGGAGCACGAACTAATTATTTTGGTAATCTTTATATTCTCATCAAGGGAGTACAAAAGCTTGTACCATATTCATGGGATGAGATGAAAATCGAGGCAACTCGTGTGACTCAAGCTAGTGGATTTAGACGATCACAAGCAGCATGGAGATAATTGTCAAGTTATATTTCCTTTCCCCAACTCTGCACGCATCAAAGTTCAGCATTAACTTCTCCTTATTCTACTGTCTTGCGTTTGTCCTCCTATTTTCTTGATATGTTGGTGCAACCTTTTTCATAGACGGCTTTTCTGTTTAATAACTTGTCCTTGTTCTACTATCAAATCTATGCATTTCCGTACATGTAGTAAATTGTCGCAGTTAATTGTATGTATTATGTCAGGGAGGACACCGTTACCTAAATGCGTTACCTATAACTTTGGGATATATTGTGCTGTTTAGCGAAAGAGATTAGAATTAGTTTTGCTTTGTTTCTTACCAGGTAAGTCAGGTGCACTTTAATTTTTTGATTGTTCATTGTTACAGGTCGCTAACTAAATTTTTTTATGCAATATTCAATAGAGAGGGTTAAAGGTCTAAAAGCCAAAAGATGATCTGATTTGTTTTAAAGTATATCTTCAGTGGATGACTGAGTTACAATTATTTGAAACTCATTAGACCATTATTTAGCCAAAATGGCATCAAGTTGGCCAAGTGTAGCCTCCCTCTTAGTCTTTTTTTGGGGCCAAACTCTTCTACTGCAATAATTGGTTTGAATTTAATGATTATGATTGAAAATATCCAACGGTAGCTTAATTAAATTAATCAATAAATTTAAAGTATAAACTTTTTTTAATACATACTATATTATCTACACAAAGGAGTGGGGGAGTAGGCTAGTAATAATAATATGGTTCAAAGACCTCTCACTTACAAGTTTAAATTAAAACTAGAGGATGCTATGTTTAGCACTTCAGTTGGAAATTATATATGAGTATGGCATAATATTGTTCATTTAAAAATAATTTCTTGCATGACTATAATTTTGAACGGAGCTATGTTTAGTCCTTTCACTATAATTTTGAACGGAGCTATGTTTAGTCCTTTATGTTGGAGATAGCCTTTTAATAACGTTTTTCTAAACAGACAGTTTAGAAATTCTCCAAATTAATATTGTAGAAAACTTCATTTAGCCTTTAAAGAAAAAAACAATTTTAGACTAAAATCTTGTGTAAGATTTAAAATAATTTTAGTCCCTTAACTCAACGTACATGTTATCATATATTCAATCACCTCATATACTAATCATATTTTGATATTTTATTTCTCCTTTTCTTCCTAATTTTAATCTATTAATTATATTTAATCCTAATTTTTATTTCAATTCATAACATATTTTGTTATAGAAATTTAGATAAACTTTTTTTTTTGTATAATATATTGTGATTTTTAATAAAATGTGCTTCCATCGAAAGTGCTTTTGCTAAAATGCTTAGGAACATGAGTGCTTACGCAAGCATTCTCAAACGAGGATCGAGTAACACTTGCGCTTGAGATTTAATTGTTAGGTTTTTCCTCTTAAATTTTTTTTTTAACAAATAATATCTACACTAAGGAATAGAGGAGTGGCTAAGCCTCATAATGGGCTAGCAATAATGTGGTTCGAATCTGTCTTTGGTGAGAACCGAACCTAAAACCTCTCACTTACAAGTGAAAATGAACTATTAGAGGAAAATCATTAATCTTTTAATTACGACTTTGTGAAAATAATAAGATAAAGAGAATATTTAACCAAAAAAATCAGTATAACCTATAAAGTATTTGATTCCATTTGTGGCCAACTTTAAAGGTAATTTTGTGGCGAAATTGTAGCGGGTTTATTATTCTAAGGAAAAGTACAAACCCACTTAATACTAAGATCTAGCAATTTAATGGTATTTCTCTTTACTTGTAAGTGAGAAGTCTTAGGTTCGATTCTCACCAAAGGCGAATTTGAACCACATTATTATGGCTTGCCCAATGTGAAGTTTAATCAACTCCTCCACCTCTTTAGTGTAGATACTACCGTCAGCTCAAAAAAAAATTACAAACCTCAAATAGGGCATTCTAGATTAAGTCTGAATGATGCTCAAACAAAAAGGACTCCAAAACAAAAAAACAAGGTCAACTGAGCCAATCTAATAGCTACTATATCGACAGATCTTTAGGTGTGACAAGCATGAGAACACATCCAGCAGTCTAAGCTAAAAGGACTTTTGTCTCAACAACTTCATAAGCTACCTCATGCAAGATTCTGCACACAAAATTATCAACAAAACCGGTAATGGAACACTCTTTGCATACATACAGCGCCGATTCAAAGAGGCATAGCTAAAAAATAAAATAAAATAAAAATGTTACAGCTACAATAGGGACTGTGCACAAAATCACCAATGACTAGCGTTTGCATCGGGACAAACTGCACCAACGCCACCATATGACCGGTCCCAAATTCCTGTAATTTTGTCCCCATTAATGTTAAATTTATCGAAATGCCCCTAAAAAGGTACATGCGTCAGGTTAATACTATTACATAGACTTAGGGCTCCGACGCTTTCCAACATGTAGTTTTCGTCTGTTGAATCAACTACTTCAACCATTAAGTTTCGGACACCTCGTAGCATCTTCTGAACGTTCAAGGATAGGAAAATAATTTTTTAGTGCTGGATGCTTCAAGAAGATTTTTAATGAAATGTGGTTCTATCGAAAGTGCTTAGGAACACAGGTGTTTACACAAGCAACTTCGAATGGGGTTTGAGTGAACACTTGCGCTTGAAATTTGGTTGTGAGGTATTTGAGCTAACTACTTTTTTCAATGTTAATTGCTTAGAGGGTTACAAAATAACTAATTTTTTCTCTGAGACACACAAAAAAACATGTGTAAGTAACTTTGTAACAATAAAAAGATATTGGAATTTGGTGTACTATGACACACCCCGATCCGAATTTTAGTAGACACTAAAATTGAGGCGTATTGGCCATCACCCGGATGGATGATGAAGGCATGATTGGAGCATTCTCATTATCTGATCCATGCTTTCTCCTCATTTTCTCTCTCATCCTCCAGTTACTCTGAGCTGAGCTCACCACCCTAATTTCTCAATTTCCTCATTATCTTCTTCTTCTTCTTCTTCTCCTTCTTCTTCTTCTTCATCTCGCTTTGATATCATGAAGAAAGTTGTCTTCTTCTTCTTCTTCTTCTTCTTCTTTTTCTTCTTCTTCATCTCACTCTGATACCATGAAGAAAATTGAGATTCCACATAAAACCAATTGTCAATATGGGAAGTAGCTCAACTTACTTATAAACCCTTGCAAAATTTCTAATGTGACTCTTTTACCTTCACATTCTCACATACCCCCTCACGTGTAGCGAGTTTTCAAGCTAAACACGTGGACAACACAAATTGGGTGACATGCCGATCACGTATGTAAGCCTTTCTCTCTCCTCTCCAAATTCTTCATTACAATTTCCTAAATTTTTCGAGAAACCAAGCGGAGAATTAGGGTTTATAGAGAGAATGTATGACATGTCATGACATACATTTTGCCGACAACTCGCGACGCTTGTCATGTCGTGGCTAACAACGATGTTCTGGCGTGCCACGATGCAAGGGTTACCGTGTTATGACAAGCCATGCCAAAGCACAGAACGTCAGCAAAATGTATGCCATGATGCAAGGTTATGGTGTCAAGACAAGTAACTGGTAAGAACACATTCAATATCTAAGCTGAATATTTACATAACTTCTTACTGGTAAGAACACGTGCATTATCTGAGCTGAATATTTACGAAGGTTATTACCAGTAAGAACGCTTCATATATTCCTAGACACCTTTTTTTTCAAATTATTTCGTCGGTTTCAAATAAAAGTCATAATTGTGAAAAAAAAAATTTCATAGAACAATTTTGTCGAGCACCTGGTGGGCACTTGCCGATTCGTGCCGACATTTGCCAAAAGCTTACGCCAACGTATGTCGACAATTACTATGATCCATAAAGGCTTGTGTTAGTACAAAAGTGGCAACTCTCATAAAAACACCTAAGTTTGTAATATCTTATACTAGTGCATGTTTCGATTATAATTATTTTAGTTTGATACAAACATCACCGTTTATATCAGACTATCAAGTCATCGTACGAAAGAACGGACTGCTATACCTTTCAAGACGAACAAAAGGGTCACTAAATTTCGTAACATTAACATGAAAACCAAAACAAAACAGTTGGAAATCGAAGAAAGCAACACTTAATACAGGTACAAAACCTGTAAAAACTTTCTTGGAACTACATTGACAGACTCAAGTATGGCTAGGGTGTTATCTTTGCCAAATAAAGCTTCGAATGTGCAACTAAAAGTTCAAGAATCACAGAAGCCAATGTATATTCCGTAGAGTAGACATATATACATACTAGAAAATCTCTTCTTTTACTTTACAAAAGTACAACTCTCAATATACACGATAAGACCAATTGGATAATCAAGCACCACTCAAAAAAAAATTCTTAAATTGGATAAGAAAGCCAAGAGCCAAACTGGTTCAATTTTGTTTTGTTGTTCTTACTTTCTTGGTTCCATTTTGTTTTGAACCGGTGACCTCTGTCTCTGGTCAAATTTGAACCAAACCGGCCAGTTTATTTCAGTTGGACTTTTTTTTAGCCCACCCATGCCTGTTGGATATTCAGAAGGCCCTATTCAGAAACAAGATAAAAACAACAAAAAATTATGAAAAATACCTTTCTTTATTGAAATTGAAGTCTACAATTTCAATGGCCAAGTAAAGAGCCAAAGCATATATAAAGATGAAAGACAACATCAAACTGGTTTTTTGGCAACGAAACGGAACAACATATTACAACTTAGAAAACCAAGACCACAAACTACTCCTGTTCCTTGTTCTTGCTGTTCACTGCTTCCTTGAGTTTTCGTCCCAACGCATAGGCCAAAGTAGGAGGAACTGCATTTCCAATCTGCCTGTGCTTGTGAAGAATGTTGCCCGAAAACTGGTAGCTATCCCTGAATCCTTGAGACCGAGCGCATTCCCGAACTGTCAGAATCCTGTCCTGGTCAGGGTGGAAGCACATTCCCACCTTCCCCATTGGTTGAGGATCTGTGATGGAGGTTGGGAAGTTGCCTTCCCAGTCAAGCCTTCCGAACAGGCCCTTCCACTGATTGTGGCGCTTGGCTGTGTTGGGAAGGCACCATGGGATCAAGTCAACTATCTGTCCAGTGGAGAGCTTCACCTTTTCGTCTGGAAGACATTGCCAATCAGCGCCTGGCCGCTTTGGAATCCTCTGGCATCGAATGAGATTCAGCTCGTTCATTTCTTTCGAAATGTGCTCAGTCAGAACAGCCATCTCCCCTCGGATTTTCTTCTGGAACCATGATATGGGGTCGCTTTCGTACTCCAGATTGACCTTGGATGCTCCATTCCCTACAGCTGGGAGATCTCCAATTGTGTCTCTGACAGTTATGGAACGGAAAGGAGCCCCACCTGCAGTACTTCTAACCGCAGAGTAATATGAGTTCCCTGACAATGAGATCTTCAACTCCGGTACACCAAAGACATGCATTGGCTCTGGCCACTCTGGGAGATTCTCATCTGGCGCAGCTGCCCATATGAATGCTCGCTTTCGTGACTGAGAAACTCCATAAGCTCCAGCTTCTAGAATACCGAACCTCACCTGGTAACCCATCTCAAGAAGTGAAGCCACAGTCAGACGGAATGTCTGTCCTTTGTTGAAAGACACAAAGT